GCGCGTGAAGAAAGTTGTTCAGCCTTTTACGCAGACCTACAGCAGGCGCAGCTTTTCGAGCACAGGTGAACTGTATAGTAGGACTATATTCTTTGCATGGTGTCGGAATATCCCGCAAAATTTGACGCTTGCGCCCACAGCAAGGGCTGCCATAAATGGGCCGACTCCTTTTCCGCGATGCACCTCAGCCGTTGAAGCGATAAAAGCAGCCTCGTGAGAAAGGAACTAGCTGATCTGCTGAAGCTGGCCCCCAACAGAGTCAACCCTGCGTTGCGCAGTTCGCAACGGCACGTTGAGAGATCCTCAACGCACGCTGTATGGGCGGAGACGCAGACGGCTCGAGCATGCGAGTGTGAATGTTCGCGCGAGAGAACGTGTCTAATCGGGCGAAACTGCGCAACGTGGCCGTTGAGAACTGCGCCGGTTGACTCTGTTCCCAACGCATCCACTTTCTAGACCTCACCCTTCAGCCACTTTTTCAACGGTCTTGATAGCACCTCAAAGGGGAAATGCTGCGAAATTTAACATGATGGTGAAGCGACCTTCGCCGAGTTTATCGCCCCTAGAACACCAGTATTTCCAGTGAATGGATTGATCAAATACATGAAATGTTCGCAAGGCAAACAGATTCGCGTGGTTTTTATTCACATCGAACGTTGCGTTTGGTTGAATTATTGCACATTTGAACTTCATTGTTTATTTGTCCGAACTGGCGCAAACTTTCCTTACAACGCTAATAGCTGTCTCATATCTTTTTCACATCTCTTCCATGCTTAATTTGGAATATTTCGCTCACATTCCAGCCATTTCCTTTTTTCCATCGATATCGTTGTATGTAGCTCGTTATTTCACTTGAGATCTAAATTTCCGAATGCAGTAAGAACAGAATCTCTGATCAGACAGACTCTTTCCCACGAATTATTAAGCTGTTGCCTTTAGGTACTTTCGTCGCCATGGTTCAAGAGATGCGCAAAGATTGTCTGTGTATGTTCACACAGGCGGAGAAATCGAAACAGACCGAATTGTAGAGGAATCGCTGAAGCAAGGAAAGCAACTATTCATACCTAAAGTACGTGCGGATGACCACTTTTATTGTTGCTAGGGCAATGAATAAACTTCAATAAGCTTTTCAACTGTATAAAGTTTCTAGTTCACCAAGGGGGATCCTCATATGCGGTCTTCTTGGCGTCCCCTGCCATGCGGATTTTCTGAAGTTGAAAACCCTATGTGGGGTATTCGTCAACCTGGCGACAACGATCAGTGGGAGGATTATGAAGAGACGGGTGAGCTTCTCTGATTGGCACTTCGTGGCTAGTCCTAACAATGGAAGTAAAAGAGAGTCTTATTTAGGTGCCTTGGATTTGATTTTGATGCCAGGCGTGGCATTCACCACGACTGGATGCAGACTCGGGCCATGGAATGGTACGTTTCCCCTTTTCCAGCTGATGTTTAAAGGGTAGCGGTTACGATAAATTCAAGAAGGATGGTAAAGGCGCTCCCAGAAATTTTAGCTTGCCTATACAAATTCCAGAAGTTTATTCTCAAAACAGCCGTAGCCATTGGCGAACTAGATGAAGATGAAATCTAAGTATTTCGAGAAGCTGAATGGCCAAGTTAGCCTGAAGTCCGACATTAGTCTACCTAGGTCATTAGATGAAAGTTGTAAGAAGTAGTGGCTGTGCCTATGCGAAAGCAAGGAGAAGTCAAATGCTGTTGAGAGGAGTGCTTTGATGTCTCTCTAAAGGTAGGTTCCCCTCTACAAAGGCTGCGTACCAATCGTTCGCTGGCTTCCTGAACAGTTACTGCGGAACGAAAGATGCTGAAGAAAGGGAAACTGACCTAGTTGAGGGACCCACGGACCTCCTGAGGGTGCGAACTGACGCGCAATTCGCATGGAAAAATTTGACCTCGGCGACCTATCATGCCTCAAAGCTGGCGGGTCCGGCGATCTCCGCCCACCGATCATCTGATCACTCGCCGTAGTTCAATACGTGGCGAGTGATTAGATAGCTGAGAGAGCGTAGTGTTGAAGAGGGCACAGCGATGAGAGTCGCATCAATGCTCGAATCAACGGGCAAGGAAGGGGTACCATTTCTCGGGTTCTGGGCCGTTTCTCATGGTTCTTCCTTCTTTCGTGTACCACTCACCATCCCTAGGTTAATTTGAAATGGGTTGCTTTTTCATCGTGAATTCGTCCTTTATCTACCCTTATCATCATAAACACTTTGTTTCTCTTCCGTTCATCACTGGAGGGGAAAAGGCAGAAGAGTGGCTAGGGTTGTCTTTTATGCTAAGACTCGAACTCTTTATCGGAGCGATCGTATGTAGCGAAAATTGCAGTTATTGCACTTCGGGCTGAGTGATTTGGCACCCACTTTCATCGGTTGGAGTTATCGAATATACGTGTAAAACAATGAGCCATATTTAGCCTGCTTCCGAAATAATGGGAAAAAAGGGGCGTTTATGCCACCGATTTGAGCTATGAAGCAAGGAATTCATGTACTCCGTCAATGTTTCGTTATCGTATACTTATTTATTTGTACTTTCTTTCATGTACCGAGTTTTCTATAAAGAGTCTATTAGAGCTAGCTGCCTACATGGCCTTAAATGAAATAGAACTTCGAATTTTTTCAGGGTTACTCCGATCGGCGTTCGCTGCTACAGTCATGACAGTTGGCGTATGCAGCTGATATGGTCTGGCGCTGAACGAACAGATAGTCGACAAGGTGCCCTGTCCGAGACTGAATAACTGAACTCGACGGTGTTGTTCAAGCCGATTAAAATCCCATTTAAAGTTCTCTTCCCGTAAGGGAGGAGTCATTGCGATCTAGAGCGCTCTACGCCTTCGAAACTACGGCAAGCACATTCCTTCATTGTAAACGAGTAGGAATTGGCCTTGGAAGAGAGGAAAATCTCCGGCCCTATGGACAAATGATTTTCCGCGGGAGATTTCCTAGGCTTAGCCCTAGTTGCTTACTAGGTGAATATTGCTCTCATAGAAATTCCAGCACAGGACACATACATTATGAAGAAAAAAAATCGAAGAAATAAACAAAGAATAACGCTGGTAGCAGCTCCTTTTCTTCAAAGAACTCCTTGACGCAAATTGGCACTGGAACAGACTGTGCACCGCAATGCCCCCTCTTACTGGATAAGACACTATTTGGTATCAACCTCATTTGCTTTTTTTGGCATGTGTGGTATTGTGTTTGATGGTTTGATTGGATTTATCCTACACAATTTCTGCTCGCATCGGTGTCGTATGTAATTTATAGCCCATAAAATGTGTTACTGCAGTACTTCTTAGTATTGCTCAAATGGGCTTGTTCCGATTCTGTTTGGCTCATCTCTCGAGCCAGTGCAGCAGAATAGCTACAGCTCTTTTGTTAGGCTTGTTTCACGTTTTGTTCTAGCTTGCATTGCTTTATTTTTGTTTTATTTACTAACTTTATTATGGGAATTCCATTTCTTCTTAGTTCTTATTTGATTTACACCTTGCCTATCTTCCATCCTCACTTTTGCCTTTTAATTTATTCAGATGCATATTATGGTATTGTGTTTGGTTCAATTGTTGTGACATTGGAAGCAAGCTCATATAGAAACATTCCTTGGACTGTGTTTGGAATTCAGAGCCACGTACCACAGCACAAGGTCTTGTACATCTTTTCTGAGATTTTGGCCCTCATCATCATTCTTCATACCTTGCAAAACTACAAAGAATCCTATCGGTCCGTCTCATAGCACAAGTCACGCCTACTTAGCAAACTCCACCCGTCAACGACGGTGATCGAAAATGGTGAGCAGCTTTGTTATTATTAGGCTGTCCCAAATGTTCGTGGACTTTTTTTTCAAACCCATCTCATTTTGAGCACAAGCGCTATTTATCATCAGCACAATCACCATCAATGATTTGTTGCCAAACAACCCACGAGAGTGGGGGCTTCACTCCCAAAAGCCTGACCGTTACCAGCTGAAGAAGGCAGTGAGTTCGACTCCGAGGTGCTCATGGGAATCGTATTTTTTGTCCGTAAGATGATTGCTAATCGTAAGGGAGGGCGCGCGACGTCTTTAAAAGAATGTTGATCGCCGCTGCATGGGATATTGTAGTTAATTCTCGCTAAGCTCGATATCGCGTCTTCTGAATGCGTGCTGCTGGTTTGTCGTGCAGGGGTCAATTTTTAGTTTTTTGACTTTTGATGGAGTCTGCGCGGTGAGTCCTGTCGTTGATCACACTAAATGACTGATTCATACTGCCGAGAGGAGAATGGTTCTAGGTGGTTTTCTCGGAGACCGCGCCTCAAAAGGAGGCGGCGCAGCGACCTTGGTGTGAATTCGTCCAATTTTCACTGAATCTTGCTGCTCGATTACCGGTGCCTGCGCTTATTTTTTTTTTTTTTTTTTTTTTTTTTTTTTTTTTGGATTGGTTAATGTGATATCTTGTCCTTCTCACTGTAATGGCAAGGCTTTGTTAACGCGTGCGTAGGTTTAGTAGGAAACAAGTTAGAGTAGGAACCCCGTGTGTTATCTCTTCATCGGGTGATCAATTTCATTTGGCCAGATAATTTTTGGAGAGCTTCCACCCTTTCACGTAAGAGCTGAAAGCCTCTATCGTAAGTGTTCATCGGTTGGTGAGCCCACGTTGCAGGTAATTGCTACGGCTGATTGGCTTTCGAAGAGCGCTGCTGTCCATCTGATGGTGTGCCTTCCTGAACAACGGGTTTTTCTCAACAGGCTGTAGTCTCTGAGCGGGGACATCCATCCGTTCCGGTACCGCATGGCCGGCAGCGACAAGGAAATGTATCACAGTGTAAATGCTTTTTCCGGCTTCGGTCGATTTGGGGGTCAGCAGAATTTGGTGAATCAGACGTGAAAAACATGGCTCTTTTCTTTTACTTACTTTGTATTCGAAGAACGCGACAATGTTATGGGGCTGGCTTAAAGAGCTTGTGGCATGAAATCCAAAAAATACGCATGAAAAGAACCTAATGTTATATTTGAATTCTTCAATGCTTGTTGGCATGATGGCGGCTATCGGGGTTAACACGTCCGAACAACGTCGTTCTTTACCGTCGCTCATCCATGGTCGAAAATGAAAGGGCAATCAAAGGGGTACTATTTTGCTTATTTTTGACGGATTTCTTTGCTTTTTTCGCCATTGGCGTACTATTGAGACCCCCACGTCCCCTCTAAACCCCTGTGAGATCTATCGTAATCGCTTGCCTTTAACCAATATTTGAGTATTTTGGCTGTAATGCTTTCAAGATATGCTGAGAATATATTATTTATTGGCCACGAGAACCTGTCAGCTGCCTTAGCTCTTGTAGTATACGTGCCTTAGGAGGAGTCGCTTGGGAGTCTAGATGTTTTCAAAGAGGTTTGGCCAACAATTATGAGGCGGGAAAATTGAAGATCTATCATAGTTTCTGAAGTGCTCTATCTTCCAGTGAGACAGACAACAAACTCAATAAGAGGGTTCAGTTTATTGCTCAAATGGTTCATTTTCTCGGCGCTTTGATGTCGTGGTAGCCAGTGGAATTCTTGGAGAGCAGCGAGATTTGTTCGACGAGATGACCGAGGCCATAGAACTGGAAGGACATACTGTAATTCACGAAATTAATACACTGACGATAGGTAAAGAAGCTTGGTGTCGTCACTTGCTTCACGCCTTCACCCGTCTTTCATCTCTTTTCTCGCGGCATATGTGGCTTCTCCCGAGTTGTTTGTGTCATTTTGGATCATACATAAGATACACTTGTAAACGAATTTAGTTACCTAATCAGATATCCTTCAGTTTAACAGAAGTTTCCCAAGCCCTGTGGGACTGGCTGCGGTTCATTCCTCTTTTTTCTTCTATTCTCATGAGCACCTCAATAAAAACCAACAGTGGAAGTGACTGCAAACCTACTTCTATAAGAAAATATGTTTTTCTCGGCTCAAGGACTTCAAAATTAATTTCGATATCCATTACAGAGAAAGGACTAAAATTTGCCTTCTCATTACCTTTACACATTTTTGGCCGGAGTTCCATCACCATGTTCTAAGTTATTTCTACGCATCAAATATTGCTAAAATGCTCTGGCCATTGCTTCGCAAAGTTGTCATTCAAAATTTTCGAGGGATGCGAGGTGAGGTGGCTGCGCAAAATTGCGCCTGCTCCACGGCGCCAAAAAAGCCAAAATGCGCGCTACCATCAATGCGTTAATACGGCAGACATAAACAAAGACTTTGACCCCTTCAGAAGCGCAAAATCTTCTCACGGCCGCTAACTTCAAAGCCACCGATCCATCTTCTTTAGACCAATCAATCCCATAAGATTTTGGATAATATTGGCTACATATTTGGAGCATCCTAATGGTGTTCATTAGTGGATGTAATTCATCTTTAATCTTTTTCACATTGATAGCCGATGTAATTCAACAAACCTTCGCCTCCTGAAATAGTAGCGCTGTTGTGAGGGCATCGTCTGGGAACATCATTCGGCCATCTCGCAAGTAGTTGAGGATGTACTTGAACAGTGTAGAATCACGATCTATGAAGCAGTTCTCGCCTTCTCTGGAAAATTAATACTATAATAGTACTATTTCCCCAAGGAAATTGCATCACAACTCGCAAGAGGTACTGTACCGAGTAGTCCAGTGTTGTGAAAAAGCAGTCCTCGCTTGCTGGGCGACTTTTGAGTCGCTTCTGACGTTGAGAACTTCGTTCCACCGACATTCAATACAATAGGTGCAAGTGGACATGATTCTGGTGACCGCAGAAGGAGAGAACGTCAACGAAAAGTTGAGGAGAAGAGCAAGAAGCTGGACCTTTTCCCAGGTGTTCTTCTTTTTATACCGTCGTTACTGTGACACGCGTCCATGTCCGCGTTGGCCGTGGTGTTGAAATCACCGCTGGGCGAGGCGATGTATGACTCAGATCAAATCAGTTCCCATCACCTCGCGCGATAATAGCTCTGTTAGCATTTGCAGGGTTTCTTTAAGCATTTGCAGGGTTATTAACCTTTTTGTGGGCGGTGTAATCTCCGGTCCTTGTGAGATATTAGATTGTCCAGAAATTAAATGTCGACCTTGTGACCCTGCTTTTACTGTACACATTTTGGCAACAAATTTAGTTGACGGGGATTCTATTATTGCATTTATTAGAGAAGATCATTTCATGCCCTGCTCACGGTATTTCTTTATTATATAAACCACAACCTTGGTGGCCGGTCTGTTTGTGTTTATGTGTGTAAGTTTGTCTGTGTGTCCGTCCGCAAAATCGAATGATAAGGCAGCTAATGGAATCAACAAGCGGCTAACAAATTTGGGTAACTCGTAGGGCTTGCCCTGTCAATGTTTTCAATGGCATGATTGTGATAACACCCCAACGGCTATATAAACATCTAAGTAGCACACTTCCGGTCATTCCATAATGTGGTGCAGTGGCAGCTGAGAGCAAAGGGGGAGGGGGAGGACAAGGGGAGGAGGAGGAGGAACGCGAAGCTTACGCAGGCAAGAGAGGACGGCGGTTGCCGGGGGCCAATCTGTGTATAAATGTTAGCATTACTCGAATTTTTGGTGGAACTCAACGGTTAGAAGGAGGCATCAAACCAGCGAATTTGACTAATTTTATTTTGCTACTCGAGCTTAGAGAGTGTAGTCCCCGCTGGAAGAGCTGTGGTCCCCGCTGAGAAGACTATCAAAGTAAAGTA